TCTAATATATATATATATATATATATGTATTGTGTGTCTCATGAATTTCAGTTGGAAGGATTTATATGGTTTTACATGCATTAACAGAGAAGGTGAGAATGAGAACAATATTTTCTTGTTAAGTACAGTTCTAATGATTAAATTTATGAAATTAATTCGATGCAAGGATAGAAGACTTACTTATGTTTCGGACGTAAATGTTGTACCTTTGGATGATCCACACCTCCTTGTATGGACTCTATAAGTTGGTCAGAAACATTCTCAAATCCGTATCCTTCTAGTTTAGTAAGGTATTCAAAACCCTGAGGCAATGCCACCGAGTTTTTATTAAAAATAGCCAAAATTTACCCTCCACTTTAAAAAATGTTAGTTTTTATAAAATCTTTCAAATATAGCAAAAAACTCACCTAAATAGACACAAATGCCCTTAAAAATTAAAACCCACATAAACTTAAAAAGTTCCAATATATTTTGAGTCCTAGTTATTGATATAGACTTGGTATCTGACTAAAGATCGAGACTTTGAAGAAAATTGATGCTTGAACTCGTAGATGCCCAACAAAACCTGTTAAAAAAACATCTACGGGTATATGTTTACCAAAACACACCTAAACTGATGAATATTTCAATTTCTTGTTCCTACCAAGCCAAAGAAACGAAGAAACAATTGAAAGAAAGAAGCAACCGCACGAAGAAGCACAAAATATGCATAAAGAAAAAGAAGATCACTCACCAATAGTTCTACTAAGGTGCGTGTGATTCCAAACTTTGTGTAGTAGGGTTTTGCATTTTAGGTTTATTTAGGTTTATTTAGGTTTTAATTTTTAAGGGCATTTGTGTCTATTTAGGTCAGTTTTTGGCTATATTTGAAAAATTTTATAAAAACTGACATTTTTGGAAGTGGGGGGTAAATTTTGGCTATTTTTGATAAAAACTCAATGCCACCACCACACTGGGGCATTATGCAAATCCACTTGTTTTTTATTTTGTTTTTTTTATTCATTTACTTTTTATCCCCAGTAAAATATTGTACTACTTAATAGTAAAAAGATATTTGTACCCCAAGCAAAAATAAAATAAAATGTAACATTTAAATAAAAAAAAGGATTTTTAATTGCAATCGTCCCTAAATTTGTACCCGAGTGTCCTTCAATTGTGTTACGCGTGACAATTTGGTCATTCCGTCAATTTTGTCGTCAAAATAAATAGGTCATTTTATGAGTTATTTGGACACTAATTGACAGTTCTACTCCTTAAATTGACGGTCATATTAATGGAAGTACCGCTATAATACCAGTGGAGCCCATCCATACGAAGTGGTACATAATGTTATACATAAAGGTTGCATTTTCTCAATTAAAACCCCAAAGAATCTAACATTCAGACCAAATATTCAAGGGATTTTTGTAGAAATGTCACTTGAACTTATACATCAGTTTCAATTTGTCACCTTAAAAAAAAAATTTAGGCGAAATGTCGCCTAAAGTTTTCATAATCCATGATTTTTCACCTGACTTCAACGTCATCCAATTTTCCATCCATTTTAAAATGGTATTTTAGTCTTTCCAATACGTAAACCCTTTTTTTTTTTCCTTTTTTTCCTTTTTTATAATTTAAATATAAAGCTATGTAATCCCTCTTTGAAGCTCATTTTTTGGTGAAGAAAAAGGAGTTAAAACCCCAAAAGCAAGACTTTTACTCCTGAACAACACTCAAACTTTGTGGTTTCAATTTTTTTTGGGAAATAATCATAGATACTAATTCAAATTTGAGAAAAACTAACAAAAGACATTATCTGGAAATTGATATACAAAACAAAAGTAGCCAAAATGAGTTCACAAAATAGGTTCAAAACGTGACCAAGTCTACAACTTGTACGAGGCCACAAAGCTACAGCACTACAAAACATAATCCCAATTTTTATCTGTTTGTAAAATAAACTTTGCATGGTACCAAGACCAATTAAACCTAAGTGCTTTATGGTTTCCATACGTTATTCTTCTTGGCATAAGACTTGGTGTTGGTTTTCATTGTGCTTGCTCTTGTAGAAGAAGAACTTGGGTTTGAGACTTGTGCATTGGATTCAGACATATTTCTTGCAGATTGTATTCCTCTTGGTACAGAGTGTGCTTGATTTGCTGAGGTTTCACTTGTCCTATTTCCTCCATTTGTCTGTGACTGTTGTTGGCTTGAATTTGCTGAAGTTTGCCCTCTTGGATCACCTTCTCATTCACCTGTACCAAATCAAATTTCATTGCCAACTTCTCAACATTTAATGAAATAAAAATAAAACATAAAATCTCATTATCTTTATACTTGAGCTCTTTTTGCCTTCAGAATCCTCATCTTCTACACCTACATCAATTAGGTTCTCTAGGTCCATATTAACTAGGTTCTCATCCTCTTGGTACAGAGTGTGCTTGATTTGCTGAGGTTTCACTTGTCCTATTTCCTCCATTTGTCTGTGACTGTTGTTGGCTTGAATTTGCTGAAGTTTGCCCTCTTGGATCACCTTCTCATTCACCTGTACCAAATCAAATTTCATTGTCAACTTCTCAACATTTAATGAAATAAAAATAAAACATAAAATCTCATTATCTTTATACTTGAGCCCTTTTTGCTTTCAGAATCCTCATCTTCTACACCTACATCAATTAGGTTCTCTAGGTCCATATTAACTAGGTTCTCAGCATCCACACCTACAAAAACAAAGCAATAGCATATAAATAAAGCCAAAGAACATAAAGAAAGAAAAAAGGATCTGAATCAAATCTCCCATTGTCATATAAAAAGAAAAAACTTCAGAGATTCCCAAGTAGAAAGCAAAGCTTTACCGTAGTTTGGAGGGTTCCCAGTGACTCTGTAGCGTAGAGTCACCATCAATCCCAACGTCGCTGACAACTCGCAGATATGCCTTAAAAAAAATTTGAAACCCTAAAGTCTAACTGTTGTTTAGGCGTTGTTCTTAACTTCTGTCTTTTTTTTTTGTTGTTGAGAAAAAGAGCTTCACAGAGGTTTATATATTGGAAAGACTAAAATACCCTTTAAAATGGATGGAAAATTGGATGACGTTAAAGTTAGGTGACAAATCATGGATTATGAAAACTTTAGGTGACATTTCGCCTAATTTTTTTTTTTTAAGGTGACAAATTGAAACTAATGTATAAGTTCAGATGACATTTTTACAAAAATCCCAATATTCAAAGACTCGGGCTAGAAACTAACAGTTGGATTAAAGTCAACTTCCCAGACCCAACAAGGAAGTTCAGAACAATCCGCACGCACGGTCACGTGCGTGAAGTAATAACGAGAGCAAAAATTTTGTGACTCAAAAAGCCCAGAAGTGTCCCTCAAATGTCCAAACGACGTCGTTCCCAGCCCAACCACAAGGTAGTGCAGTACAGACATACATATTCCCAGTGACCACACTCCATTTATATATCCCAAAAGCAAAACACAAAAAGAAAATGGCTGAAATTAGATGATCCCTATTCTCAAGGTCCACAGAGCCCAAGCCAGAGCCAATGAGAAGCAATTTTGGCTTCTTTTGACGTTTTGAATTTTGGGTTTTCAAATTTTGAGGCTAGGTTTGTGGGGGAGACGGCAATGGCGGAGCGGAGGAACAACAATAGGTGGAACTGGGAGGTCAGTGGCTTTGAGCCGAGGAAGTTGTCTTCTTCGTCGTGGACGGCGTCGAGCTTCGACCATGACGATTACAAGCCTGGTGCGCCTTTAGTTCGGAGGTACTCGATCTCTGCTGCCTCGGCTTTGGCTCTCCAACCACTCTGTGACTTCTAAGCTCCAGAAACTCAAGGACCAAGTTAAGGTAATGCGTTGTTTGATTTTGGTTTTGGTAATTAAGGTATGAGGCTGTGAGTTATGGAGTTTTGAGCTGAATCAGTGTTAAAGTCAGTGGTTTGTGGTTCAAGAGTGTGTGTTGTTGGAAATGCATTTTTTTTTTTTGAAAAGAAACTTTATCATTCAAAAGGAAAGAACGAACACAGAACACAATGGCCAAGGGGGCCACCAAAAAAAGAAAAGACAAAAAACAAGAAAACCTCTACCCTACAACACATTGGCTTGGAGAATGTGAACGCTTTGTGAATAATGTGAGAGATTGTGTTAGTGAGAATAAGTGGTTGCATCTGTTCTGGAGCCTTTTGAAGTTATTTTACTGTTTTTATGTGAAGATTATGTTGGGTTTAGGAGGTCTGCTACAACATTTCTTTTTGGACAGCTTGCTAGAGAAGATTACTTGGAGTTGAGACAAGAAGCAAGTGAGTTGCACGAGTATTCTAATGCCAAACTTGAAAGAGTTACACGTTATCTTGGTGTTCTTGCCAATAAAACCCGAAAGCTAGGTAAGAGATTTGGTTAAGCTGTTTGATTGTGCGTTTGTCGGTTTAAAGGATTTCTGAAGTGGGTGGTATGGGACTTTTGTCTAAATTCAAGATGAGTGATATTTTTTGACAGGGTACAAGGTTTGATATTACATTGCAACAAAATAAAACCACTTTTTTCTTTTTCTTTTGTGATGTATTTGCACTTTGAGATTAGTTAGTCCAAGAAAACTTAATGCCCTTCACCAAAGCATTACTTTTTGTAAGGTTTTTTTTTATGTTCTTGGGTTATCTTAATGGATTTGAAAGTTTGTCTACATAAAAATGCCAGATCAATTTGCCCTTGAAACTGAGGCTAGAATTTCCCCGCTGATCAATGAGAAGAGAAGGTTGTTCAATGACTTATTGACAGCCAAAGGTACTCATCTTCTGTGAGTTTTCTCCTTTTGGGACTCTCTCTCTCTCTCTCTCTCTAACTAGCCTTTAATTCCAGGAAACATAAAGATATATTGTCGTGCAAGACCATTATTTGAGGATGAAGGTTCCTCAATTGTTGAATATCCTGATGACTACAACATCCGTGTAAATACTGGTGATGATGCCTTGTCCAACCCCAAGAAGGATTTCAAACTTGACAGAGTTTATGGACCTCATGTTGGACAAGGTGAGCATAACTTTCTTATTTCATTGTTTTCACCTTCCTATTGTGGTTGTGCTAGGTGAAATATTAAACATATTCTCCCATTTTAAAGTTGTCTTTGGCTAAAACATCTTTGACTTTTTTTGTTTGTCAGCTGAACTTTTCCGTGATGTTCAACCTTTGGTGCAGTCAGCATTGGATGGATATAATGTTTCTATATTTGCATATGGACAAACCAACTCAGGAAAGACACACACAATGGTTGCTCTCTTTTCCTCTTTTCCTCCCTTTGCATTTGTTTGTGTGTGTCTTTGCCGGAATGTGTATCTGATGTATATAAATTTGTACTTGTATGCTGACTTCTATTCCTCTAGCCAGTTCAAGGCGTTCTAACTTGATATTTTCTTTTACAAATTTGTAAAATGAATTGATTACAAATTCTACGTTGATGTATTAGGGACTTTAAAAAAGAAATGAGAAGTGATTTTTCACTATTAGATTTGAACCTTAAAGCGTGGGGGACTTTTCATTGTTTGTTACATTTCTTTTTGTAATCTGGATAATTCTTTCCACTGGTTTACCACAAAATAAACAATGGAATTCAATGTACCGGAGCATTAAATTGCCACAGTGAGTGGTGTGCCTTTTACTGTTTTTGGTACAGTAAGAGATTTAGTGGTAGTTGTTTCATTTTATTTATTTATTAAAGTAGTTTCAAGT